CGCTCCCAAAGGGAAGCCCTGCTGAACCAAAGCTAAAAGTCAACAGTTGCTTAGAAGTGTGAGTTACACAGCATAAGCTAACAGACACATTATTGGTCTGGGATTATCATTATATATGAGGGGTTTTTTTTCTTCATTTATTTGTTTGTTTTTAAAAGCCATTGTCAAGGCTGAGGAGAGAGCTCTGTCAGTAAAGTGATTGCCTTGCAAACATAAAGACCTGAATTCAATCCTCAGAACTTTTATTTTTTTTTAAAGGCCAAGCATAGTGGTGTGTGCTCATAATCCCAGCACTGAGGAGTCAGATGGGAGATCCCTGGGCTCACTGACCTGGTTGTCTAGCCTATGGAGCAAATTCCAGACCAGTGAGGGACCCTATCTCAAATACTGACATCAACAACTTTCCCAAGGAATGGCACAGGATTGTCTTCTGGCCTCCACACACACACAGAGAGAGAGAGAGAGAGAGAGAGAGAGAGAGAGAGAGAGAGAGAGAGAGGAGAGAGAGAGAGACAGATATGCAAACACACACAAATACACACACAAAAATGCTGTGGGATGTCGTTCTGTATGTTGTGAATGTGTTGCTCTGATTGGTTGATAAATAAAGTGCTGATTGGCCAGTAGCCAGGCAGAAAGTTTAGGTGGGGTAAACAGATGAGGAGAATTCTAGAAAGAGGAAGGACTGAGTCAGGAGTTGCCAGGCAGACACAGAGGGAGCAAGATGACAAGGCAGAACTGAGAAAAGGTACCAAGCCATGTGGCTAAACATAGATAAGAAATATGGGTTAATTTAAGTGTAAGAGCTAGTCAGAAATAAGCCTGAGCTAATGACCAAGCAGTTATAACTAATATAAGCTTCTGAGTGATTATTTTATAAGCGGGCCACAGGACTGCGGGGGCTTGGCAGGACTGGAGAAACTTTCTGACTACACAAAGACATTGTCATAAGCAGTCAACAGCTCCCTGACATATCAGTCCTGAGGATGAAGGAGAGGACAGAGTGACCACAGGTAATTCCAAACATGCCACATTAAATGCTTTCAAAACCACACCAGCTTCCAAACAGAGCCACGGGGAGGAGAAGACTACTGTTGGCTTGAGTGGGAAGCCTTTCAACTGCTGAGCCCAGATTATATGCTAAGACCCCTAGTCTCCATTAGTGTACCTCAGAAATGCCTATGATATGAGATAAGGCAAGATAAGGTCTCTCTTTTTATTCATTTCTCTAGATGTGGGGCTGGGAATGGAGCACAGAGCCGCGCTCTACCACAGAGCCATTTCCCAGCCCTATAATACCCCGTTTTCTAGTTCAAAACAGACTGAAGATGTAGGAACTGACCCACAGTCCCAGTGTCACCAAGGGGAAGCCAGAGACAGACCAAGGTCAGCAGATGCTGGGACTCATGCAGTCTCTACTGTGCCTCATGCAGCACCTGGCTAGGGTCATCTCCTCAAAGTCCAAGCTGGTACATGACCTCTTGGTCAAGAGAATGTGTGAATTAACCCTTTGGACTCCATCTCTGTTACGTTCCAGCTATCACCGCCATGAGGCCTTGGGCCAGTCAAACCGTCTTCCTGCCCCTCAGTCCTTTTTCTCACTTACACACTAAAGTACATCCAGGGAATGGATCAGATCCTTTCCATCATCTATGGCTTGGAAGATTTCTCTCTCTCTCCCACAGACAGACCTTCCATACCCACTAATGTTTTTAGAAAGAGGCACAGATTGACTCAGGTTCAGTGACAACCTAATCCACTGTGGGGATGGGTCAGACTGTACCAGCCTGACTGCCAGAGGCTCAGCATTATGGGTGAAGGGCAGGGAGGGGCTCACTGTGAGGGCCTCCAGGCCACTCAGGCAGGTAAAGACTTACCAAGCCAGCTTTTCAGGCCCTCACTCAGCTACAGGAGCCGAGCTCTGCCTGTCTGTCTACCCCTTTCTTCCATTGGCCTTTTCCCTCCTCCTCTCCCATCCTTCCAAATCTTCCTACCCAGCAGAAGTCACAGCTACACAAGGGACTGTTGTGTAAGAGGAGAGGGACAGAGTCAGGGCAGCTTCGCTAGCTGAGAGTGAGTCTTTCCTGAAAGCTGGAGCTGGGGATCAGAAGTCACTGAGGACAAAACCATCCTCTGTGCCAACCCACAGTGCGCAAGCCCGGGTGCAGGAATCTGCTGACAGTGGCTTCTGCCTGGGGACAAAGCTGCACTATCACAGGTACAGGGGACGGGGAGACGTAGTCTTGGTCTTCTGCCCTGCCCAGCAGAGGTACTGCAAGGCCCATCTGCATTGCCAGAGCAGCGAAGCTCCATCTCCTGCCTCCTCCAGAGCATCCCAGCGTAGAGGCTGCAGGAGCCCCATGCAGAAGCCTGCAGCAGCTGGGAGCTTCTCCAGGACACAGCCTAGTCTGGGCGAGGGAAAAAGGTTTGGAGGAGAAGAGGGAGAGGAAGATAGTCCTTGGCTGGAGTCAAGGAGAGAGGCTGAACCCATGGCTGATGGCCAGCTGGGGGTGGAAGTGTAGGGGGAAATCATGGTTTCTGGGTATGCTTTCCTCTCTCTGGTGGAATTCCCATCAACCAAGAGACTCCCGGTTACTGTGTCTCCAACCCGATGCAGTAGCTTCACAGGAAGGACTCAGGTGAACTGTGGGGCTTTTGAGGAGGTGGATAGTGGACACAGGAATGAGGAACACTCTTGCAGTGGATATGAGTTGGTGATGGGTGGCTGTGGAGGAGAGAGGACACAGTGGTGAGGCTGCTACAGTTTAGACAGGACTCCCCGGACTGTTGAGGTACCAGGATTTCTACAGAATATCAGAAGGGAAGGGGCTTAACCTGAGTCCAAGATCTGTTGTCAGACCACTGGGGGCGGCATGCTGTGGGAAGCCCCCCAGTGCAGACCCTTAACTGTGATGTGGGGTAGGGTATGGGGGCAGCACAGCCCTGGGGGGCTCTCTGAGGACCAGGGGTGGCGGCCGTGGCAGGAGAGGCAGTGGGTGGAAGCTCTGGTTGTTTCACCCTGGACTAGTCTTAGGGGAAGGAAACTCCCCCTTTTCATAAGGGCTGGGGTTGTAGCTCAATGATAGAGTGCTTGCCCGGCATGCTATGGGGCCCTGGATTTAATCTTCATCACTGCAAATAAATATATACACAGATAAATGGATGAATGAATATTGTTGGCATGGTCAACTGTAGCATAGATGAAGAACAAGTGTTGTGTCATTTGGGGCCATTTGGTCTACCTCTCCTAGCCCAGGGCAATCATCATACTGCCTGCTCTAATGGTCCTCATAGGCTGTTATGGTAGTTGATAGTTTAAAAAAAAAGGATTATACAAGAAGTGTCATTCAGTGTAAAGGAATGACGCTGTCACCATCAAAATTTCTCAGGCTTAGACTCTCATCCAAGTCTCTTGAGATGGTTTTTTAAATCCCGTACCCAGGCATCAGTCTGGGTCAGTTATGTAAACCCAGGTTGGTAGACAGCCAAAGGGCAGGATGGGAGCCTGATGCTCGGTGAGGGTGGAGACCTACTTTCTGGGGCCTTCCCACTCCTCTGATGTCTTGGTGCTGCTGCTGGCACTGCCTGTGAGCCGGCAGTATCTCGGATCTCTCCAGAGCTGCTGTGTCCTCACAGTTTCCATCTGCAGAGTCACCCAAATCCCCATCACAAATACCTGGGGGTAAGATACTTCTGTACAGACTTTTTCTTATCATCGTTCTCTAAACAAAACTGAACGTTGACATGGTGCCATACTGTAAATTACCTAGAGATGATTTACAAAAAACAGTACCAGAGTAGCCATGGATGTTGTTGATATTTGTAAAGGACTAAAAACAAATCCCCCTTAGATTCCAAGAGCTGAACGCACTCAGCAAGTAATAGAAGCTGTAGGGACATGTCATGTCAGGGAAGGTCTGCAGAACCTCCTGCTGGGGGGAAGACTCACACCTTCAATGGCACCTACAGCTTTGTGCTCTGGGGGTGGGATTACTCTGGTCAGCCAATCCTTTTCTTTCTGCTCCACCGGATTGACAACTGCCCAGGCAAAGAATGAGGGCAGTTTAAGACAGGGAATGCAAATGAATTTTGGTAGCTAACAGCACCCATGAGCTTCATTCAGTGTCTGTCTGCCTCCATTTCCCCAGTAGTCCCAGCATTCCATCAACAGCTTGTTTGGGGATGCTCACATCACACTCTCTGTGAGGGCTCTGCTCCACTCATGGGAGTACACACACACACACACACACACACACACACACACACACACACACACGCACACACACACCAACCTCATTAAACACAGCAATGAGAAAATGGAGAACACAAAAGCCTATGAGTTCCTATTGGCAATTGGCAATTGTGTCCCAGAGGCTGCTCAGTTTAATTCTTCCATCTCATGGGGTGATATGAGCTTAGCAATTGAAGGGACCCCAGTGGCTGACTATCTAAGTCAAAATGCCGCCCCCTTACTTCCCAGCATGAAATAGGTGAACGGTGGGCATCTGGGCAGATAAGGTGGGGGTGTGCACAACATACAGCATTTGCTCATTATTCCTGATGGGAAAAGCTGGAGCCTAGAAAAGGACTATGTCTACTCTAACTACTTGACCCTGGGGAGCCTATGGGAAGAGTTTTATGTGGGAGCAAATACCTGTACTGTGTTGTTCAGGTCAGCATTTTTTTCCTACTGTCACTGGGAGCTTGGGTAGGATGACTTATTTTTATTTTATTCATATTGTATTTTAAAGACTTTTTTTTCCCGGAGCTGAGGACCGAACCCAAGTGCTCTACCACTGAGCTAAATCCCCAACCGTATTTTAAAGACTTTTTAAAACTATTTTTTAAATTATGCACAAGTGTACTGGTTTTGCATGTGGGTATGTGCACATGAGCCCAGGTGCCTGCAGAGACTAAAGACTCCCTGGAGCTGGAGTTACAAATGCTTGTGAGCTGCCCGATGTGGTTCTAGAAACCAGACTTGAGTCCTCTGGAAGAGTAGCAAGTGCTTTTAACTGCTGAGCCATGTCTCCAGCCCCTCTATTGTATTTTTTTTTTAGTAAATTGATTAATTTTATTTTTTCCCTTGCTTTTTTTTGTTGTTGTTTGCCTATTTGTTAATGATATGTCTCAATTAGCCCAGGCTAGTCCTGAACTCACTATGAAGTCAAGGATGATCTTGAACTCCTGATCTTCCTGCCTCTACCTCCCAGGTGCTGTGATTATAGGTGTTGTGCCCACCATATCTGGATTAAGATGCCTTATAAATAATATGCTATATTCTGCAGTACTTCTGCAGTAAAACAGATGCAGGGCCAGCAGATCTAGAAGAAAAGCACAAGGAAATTCCACCTCACTGTGTTGGTTGTAGGACTCTGGAGCTATTTTTTTCTCCCTTATACTTTTTCCACAGGCTCCCAAGGGGCCCACCCCCAACCATGGTAAGCCTCCAGAGGGCCATCCTTCGAATGGATAGGAGTCTGAGGGAGCCACTGGGCAAGGACCAGAGCCTTCCTGACAAACTCCTTATGGGCCCACCCCCCACCCCAGGGACAGAGGGAGAACTCTGCCAAAATGTGATACTAGGTACCCCAAAGGGGAAAGGACACACTTTTTCCGGGTGTGAGCCTAATCTTTAATGGATGAGCCATCTCTCCAGCCCTCCCTTACACCTTCTGAATTTTGTTGATTTACATGAGTAGAGATGCTATTTTTAGAATCAAAACTCAAAATGTTTGTTTCTGGCAATATATTCCAGGTCAAACAGTGATTTAGAATCCCACTGTGCTAGTTAGTCTTAACTGTCAACTTGACAAAATCTAAAATCACCTGGGAAGAGAGTCTTAATGATGAATTATTTGGATCAGGTTGGCCTGTAGGCATGTCTATGGAAAGAATGTCTTGATTGTTAATTGATGTATAAAGACTCAGTCCATTGTGGGCAGCTCTATTCCCTAGGCAAGGGATCCTGAAGCACATGAGGGAGGAAAAGACTAGCTGAGCAGTAGGCATGCATGCATTCCTTTATCTCTGCTCTTGACTGGGCATGTGATGTAACCAGTTGTCTTAAGCAGCTGCTGCCTTGATTTCCCTCCAATAATGGACTGTAACATGGAATCATGAGCTAAAATAACACTTTTCTCCCGTAGGTTGTTTTTTGGTGGGATATTTTATCATAGCAACAGAAATGAAATGAGGACAGCCACCCAAGTGTTCTACACTATAGGGTCCTACCTCTGTAAGCCGAATGGGCAACAGGAACCAAGGATGATGAGTGAGTACCAAAGAGTGGCATGACAAAGTAGAACAGGGTCCAACCTGAAGCTTCCTGAGCAAAGTTGCTTTCTACCCTAGGGCCACTGCATGGCACACAACACAATGCCTGTCTCGTCTGAGGGGGGTGCTCTTGTAGGAATAGAGAGCCAGCTCTGACTTTGTTTAAGGATACCAGAGTGATGGACCACTCACACCCACCCCCTACATCCCGCCCCCCCCCCCACCCGTGGGCTCCTTTCCAAAAGCCTGAGATGCTGCTTAGCATCTGGCTGGTTTGCATCCCCTGCTTCTCCTTAATATAGAAGAGCCTTTCCATGCCCAACGTTTTTCCAATCACAATGCCAAGGTGTGTGACACAGCCAAAAAGCAACGAGTGTTTATTTTGCAATGTCAAAATAGAAAGAAGGATCTGGAAACACTTAATAACTAAGACAGACCTCATCTAAGAAAAAGAGAAAGGAAATAAAGAAAAGAGGGAAGAAGGGAGGGGGTGGAGGGGAGAGGAGAGGGAAGGGAGGAGGGGGGAGGGAGAAAAGTAGAAAAGTAGGTTTATCAAACCAGATACTAGATCAAATTACTACGGCTCTCTTCAAACTGTTCTATGTAACCTGCTCGGTATATTTTCCCATGGTGTGCTCTGCTCTCTGTGTATAAAATAGGAAGCTGAAATATGCATATAAGCTCTGAAAGGCAATCACACTCTATGAAGCTGGAATTGCAGCAAGCTCATCTCTTTTCCTCTAAGAGCAATCCAGTGACAACGGCTTAGCAACCACGCCTGCCTGGTGTACAAGGAGGCAGCTGCGCCTTCAGTGAAGGTGCTTGAGCAGCCACAGAATTTTCAAGCAGAAATTCAATTGTCCAATCCAACTGCTTCACATCACAGGTCAAGACCTGGGCCAGAGGGTAAGGTTCATGGCCCGTACTTTCTAGATAAACAACAAGGGACTTCCTGAAGGTCACACAAGAAAATCCAGGATGACGTTAGATTCCCATCTGCTCTGACTGTCTCTGGATTTAAGGATGAGAGTAAGTAAATATCAGAAATTTTCTTAAGGTTCAGGGAGTTCAGAAAAGGAGCAATTACCACAGCTCCAACAGGCAAGAACCGCTACTTCCTCTCCCCTTTTGCTTCAATATGGAAGGGGAACTACACCAGATACCTTTAAGAGGGTTGATACACAACCACAAAATGGTCCATGTGAAAAACCAATGACTAGTGTTCCCATGGACTCAAACACACTAGAAGGAGCTTCCAGTCTCAGAAGTTTTTCAATAGATTGCCTGGATTATGCTTTTTTGTGAGTTGCAAATAAATTACCTTTAAAGATAATAAGAGGTTGGAGATGCTGCAGTACAAAGTAATTTGAAAAACACCAGATGAAAGAATTAAGATGGGTTTAATTGCTACAAGGCTTCTCAGAGCATTTCATCTGTGTTTATATGTATCGTGTACCTACAAGGTAGTGTTTCTGAAACCAGTGCCTGGAGGTGCTTTTCACAGGGAATTTCATGTAAAATGGCATGTTCTGCACAGTTGACTTACTCCAAGACGGGTTGTTCTAGGTCAGGTGTTTGGCTGAGCATCCATCTGAGGAAAGGGCCAAACAGGAGGGAAGAAGTTTAAGGAACAAGGAAGTGACACAGGACAGAGACATGAGGTGAACAGCATCGATCATGAAGTTCAGACACAAACTGCTACAAGAAATTGACACTCAAGTGATGTTTTCTGTGGGCTTTCAGAAATGAACTGGCATCATTAGAAAACTTATAGAGCAGAGCAGTGGATCCCAAGACTTTTAAATTCCTAGTCTTCTTTCTTTCCCCCTCCCTTCCCATCCCTTCCTTTCTCCCTCGTCCTCTTCTTTCTTCTCCTTCATCCCCTACTTCTTGCCCTCCTACAGCCCCTGTATTGAACCTGGTGCCTCTTTCATGAGAGGTGAGGGGTGTACAAATGAGCCACAACCCCAGCCCTCTGGATACCTTTTGAGGCAGGGACATTTAAGGAGCCCAGGCTAGCCATAAACTCACTCTGTAGCTCAGGTAGGCCTTGAATTTTCAATCTTTCTCTCTTGGCCTCTTGAGTAGCTGTGATTGTAGCCTTGTGCCATCATGTGTGATTAGTAGTCTCTTCCTGCCTGACAATTCCATGCCCTTTTGCCTTAGTCTCTCTAGGTTGTTAAGTGAGTTCAGCTGACTTACTTGCAAATTGAAGATGGTCCTGAAAGGCTGTACAAAGAGCAAATGCTTTATCTACAAACCAAGTCATAGTTTCCACTGACTTGTAATCCCAAAGAAGAATGCTGACCTCACACACATCATCAAAGGTACTATAGGAAGCACCGTACCTCTACCTGTACCCTCAGACAACCTTTTCCATTCATTCTCCCCAACAAGAGCAGCCCAGATGTCAGACAAGGGACGCACTGATTCATGTGAGCTGTCCACACTCAGCTAGTTCCCAGTTCCGGAGGAGGTGTTCTCTGACCTTGAGGTCCTGTCATTCACACTCTTCCCTTTGGGAATTTATCTGAGTCCTTGGCATTTTGAGCATAGAAGCCATTTTCTCTAAAGGGATGTTAAAGCCTCTTTACATAAGGCATCCTTGTTAGAATCAAGTGTTTGATGACTGTAGAGCTAGCCCATGGTCAGTCAGATGAGAACATGAAAATGTACAAAGTACTTCTCTCTCTCTCTCTCTCCTTTCTCTCACTGTGTGTGTGTGTGTATGTGTGTGTGTGTGTGTGTGTGTGTGTGTGTGTGTGTGTGAGAGAGAGAGAGAGAGAGAGAGAGAGAGAGAGAGAATACATGTTACCGAGTGCTTACAGCATGACTGTCTTCCTGTGTGCCAGACAGGACCTGGGTTAACAATATCTCCCATAATTCTATAAGAGACTTCTATTCATCACTCATTTTCACAGAAGAGAAAAACTCAGAGAGGTGCCTAACTCTCCCAAAGTCACACAGCTCACAGGATGTAGGTGGCAGTGCCACAACTTGCTCCAAAGTATGCCGACTTTATCCTCTTCCTGCATTGTCAGAAGGCATTAGTGTCAGGACACATCCTCACCCAGCATGGCCCCGGGTGGGAAATGTCATGCTGCATATCTACAAATTGTCACCTTGGGAGACTAAATGCAGTTAGGACTCTTTCTCAGAGTTCCCACTCTGAAACATAAATTTCAAAAAAAAAAAATGCCCCCTTATTTCTCCAATGGGAGAAAAGAACCTAGGATCTGTTTGGCCGTAGCCAGCATTTCCCTTGGTTCCAGTGGGGGCGGGGCTCAGATTGCAAATATAATGGCTAGCTCTGCCTCACGGTTCTATTGACTGCATGCTGTTTTGCAAGTTTGCCTACCCTGGGCAAATTTTTAAGTTTTCTGTGGACTCACTTTCAGTAAAACTTAGTTCCAATAGGAAAATGATTCTATTCTACACTAACAGTTTTACACACACACACACACACACACACACACACACACACACACACACACACACACACACCACACACAGCTGCTTCCTATTGCTGTGATAAACACCATGACCAAAATCAACTTGGGGAGGAAAGGGTTTATTTCACCTTACACCTTACAGTCCATTGTGAGGGGAAGTCAGGTCAGGAGCCTGAGGTAGAGCTGAAGGGAGGAACTGAAGCGCAAGGCGTGAAGGCATGCTGCTTACGGGCTTGCTCCCAGAGCTCACTCAGCCTGCTTTCTTTCTTTCTTTTCTTTCTTTTTTTTTTTTTTTAAGAAATTTTCTATTCATTTTACATACCAACCACAGATCCCCCCTCTTTCCTCATCCCACCCGGCCCCCCAGCCTGCTTTCTTATGCAACCCAGGACCACTTGCCCAGGGATGGTACTGCTACTAATAAGCTGGGCCCTCCCACATCAACTGTCAATCAAGACTTGCCTACAAGCCAGTCTGATGGAGACATTTTCCCAATTGAGGTTCCACCTTCCCAGACTTTAGCTTCTGTCAAGTTGACAAAAATCAACCAGCACATACCTCCTGGGGAAAACTAGGCATACATGCAGAGTGAAGAAGGCCTGTGGTGGGTTTTCTTTTGTACCAGCCTGATCTAACATCTTCTGCACTACTGGAGGGGGCAAATATTTGGAAGAGAGGGAGAGTAGAGGCCTTTAGCTTCTGGCTTTCAGGGCTGGAAGACATCCCTGAGGAGAGATGACTTATGAGAAGTCTGTTCGTCTCAGAACCCTAAGGCTTTAGCACTGACTGACTCTAGCCTCCACTGTCCTTTTGAGTTCCAGACCTGAACTGTTTTAATGAAATGATAGGTAAAGCTGGGAGGTGAGGTGAGACCTTACCTCCCTCCTGAGGCACCGACACTGGGACAGTTACAACCCTGCACCCATTTCACTTCTTACCATCGGGAGATTAATGAAAGCTCAGATTGGTTGCATTTGCATCATTGAGAGGAGTCCAAAGAAGGAAAGAATGGTTTGACTCATGGTTTCAGAAGGCTCACTCCATGGCTCCTCAACCTCATGCACTTGTACGGAAAGAATTGTGTAGCCCAGGAATTGTTTTACCTCTTGGTAAACAGGAAGTAGCCTGAGAGAACGGGACTGGGGTTGGGATATACCTTGTAACACAGAGCATTGAACATTCTACCATCATAGACGGATATGCTGTCAAACACATCCTCTGAGTGACCTACTTTCTGTGCCTGGGACACGCCTCCTCGAGTTCATGCTACCTGCTGAGGACCAAGCATGCCATACAAGAGCATATAGGCTATTTCCTATTCAAGCCACAACATGGTGGAAGCCCAACATCCTAGGCAGAGAGGCAAGTGGGAAGCCAGGGATTAACATGGCATCACACAGAGGCCAGGACAGATGGGTACCAAGGAAATCCACACATTCTCACTTCTGGACCCCTGTTCTTAATCCCTGTCTATCCTGGCCAGCAGGAATGGAGTAGTGGTGTCTCATTCCCTGACTTCCCGCAAGTGGAAGGCAATCCTCCAAGCTGAAATGGACAAGCACTGGTTCTTCTTGTTTTGTTTTGTTTTCATCTGCACTATAGTTTGACGTTTGTATCTTTGTTGTTGTTTATGAGTGTGAGTGTGAGTGTGAGTGTGTGTGTGTGTGTGTGTGTGTGTGTGTGTGTGTGTGTGTGTTTGTACCAGAGGTTAATGCCAGGTGCTTTTCTCACTCACTATTCACCTCATTTTTTTTTTTTTGATACAAACCCTGGAGCTCCGCCAATTCCCCCAGGACAGCAAGTCTGCAAGCCCCAAGGGCGCTCTTCTCTCTGCCCCCAGAGCTGCGATTCCAGGATCCACTGCTGGACTGGATCCGTTCTAATGTAAGTGCTGGGGACAGCATTCAGGTTCTCACAAGTAAGTAGGAAGAAGCACTTCACCTCCTGAGTTATCTCCCCAGGCAGCCCCTGGTTTTGTTTCTTTGTTCATCTGCCTTGTTTTGCTTTGGTTTTGAGGCAAGATCTTATGCCATGAAGGCTGCTGAGCTTAAATCCAAACATAGCTGAGGACAACTTTGTATCTCTGGTCCTCCTGCCTCTACTTTCCAGGTGCTGGGACTGAAGGTATGTTACCATGACATGCAGCTGTTTTAGCCTGCATCTTAATGCTCTCCAAAGACGGCGTGCTATAGCCTCAACTCTGGTGCTACTGAAAAGTAGTGACAACTTTTAAGAGGTCATCAGGATTCTTAGCTCCTCCCAGGTAGTTAGAAAGCAGACCACGGGACCTACCAAGCCAGACATCTTGTCTTTCAAAAGAAAGAAACCAGAGCTCCAGATCTATGTGTGGAGCACTGTTTCTTAACATTATGTCACATTTAGCCCCCAAATCAAAAGTGAGAACTTAGGACCACTTATAAAGAGTAGCCTGTGGGGTAGACACCCTGCCGTGGCTCTTTGGAATTTCTGCAGATGCATGACACCAAGCACCCGAAAGTACACATGGGGAAAGGGAATGAATGAGTGAGTGGGTAAATTTAACACACACCCACATTCAGGGGAATGTGCTGGGATCCTACTGGTACACACAGGTATGCCCATGGTAAACATGCTGTCTGCCATGAAGCACAGACAGCAGCCTTCTGTACGTAGCTCTAGTCTCCTCCCTCTTCCCAGGCCTTCCTTTTCTTTTCTTTTCTTTCTTTCTTTCTTTCTTTCTTTCTTTCTTTCTTTCTTTCTTTCTTTCTTTCTTTCTTTTTTTTTCTTCTCAGCAAAGCTAAATTACCTTAAAGAAGCTCAGAGCCTATCTGATTTATGGTTCAGCCGCCACAGCTTCTGGAAGCTTTGTTTTTCCTGACCCCCAGTCCTGTGATTTATAAAAGAGATCTGTAACTCAACAAGAACGCCCCCCTCCTTCTACCCATCCCCAGAGCAACAGAGTCCAGGGAAGAGACTTGAAGCTGCTTAGCTGGTTTCTGGCTCCCAGGGCTTCAGCAGGCCATGGCACTCCTGGATAAGATGCCAACTCTCTGCATCCCCTCCTTCATCCCCCAAGCACAGATGTTTCTCGTGAGCTCTTATTTTCCTCGTTTCCAATCTCTGACCAATTCCCTACTCTAGTCACTTAATTTAGCAGAAAACTCCAACCTTAAAGGTTAAAGAAACTCTTAAGGGGTAACAGTGGAAGCCTGGCACTGGGTTGCTGAGACCAGCGCTCTCAAGCCTCTTTGCTGAGGGTTAAATACCACTGGTCCTCCCCAGGGCAATACTATTTAACCCTTTCTTAGCATAGAAGGTGACTGTCAGATTGGGGGCTCCCCAGTGAAGCCTGCTAGAAAGAGAAAAGGGAAAGACAAAATTCAAAGTCACTTCATTACATTCTTCTGGGCCACTTTGCCAAACAGTATGGCTGGATAGGAAACGACAAATGAATTAAACACTTCTGTTTAATTCATATACTCCTTCGGGTTCCATTTTCTGTAGGAAGATGGTAACAAACGGGTCCCAGAACCAGCTCTACCCAAGGTCCTTGCGACCTTGAAATTTAATCATTTTGATTCTTTGCCTCAGTTTCCTTTCTTAGGGGAGACATTCATTGCCCCCCCCACCCCCCCTCCCGGCAGCTTTCACACCCCATCCATCTGCAACCTTCAGAACTGTTCCTTGTGCAGCTCAGGAAGGGCTCAGTCTGGGTTTAGTTAGAAACAAACTTCGTTCTTAAAGACATTCCTGTTATATCCACCCCAGTCTTCCAAGATGCATCTGCACATTTCTGTACATGAGATCACATCCTAAGGGGAGTTATTTAAGGAAAGTCTGCTGTGACTCCTCTGGGCAAACAGCCTTCTGGTACAACCAAGAGCTACCCAGAATCTATTTTTTTATAATAGGCCATTGAAATGGTTGCAGTCAGCAGGGACACTGCCTTCCTTTGAGGATGCAGGTGGCCTGCCTGCCGCCAAGCCTGCCTCTCACTCAGTGTCACCGAGGGCCCCTCTTTAAATGGCAGCTTCATCTGGGCCTCACCATCCTATCTTGAGAGGCGAGTGGTATGTGCTTCCTTGTTTTGCAGATGTCAAAACTAAAGCTTGGTGCAGTTAAATGAAGTACAGACTCAAGCTCAACTTCAAAGGCAAATAAACAATGCAGGTCTTAATCCAAAAGCAGAAAGGCAGTTGTACTGCCTTGCTCTAGGTTGGATCACTCATGAGAAGTCATAGGAATGGAAGTGAGTTGAGAATGGGCAGACATTCTGGGCTGTGTATCAACACACTCCCCGCAAGGAGAGTTAAAGTTCTTAAATAGAGACAAGAAAAAGGAAGCCAGCTTATTCCAGCTGCAGAATTCCTTGTATGCTCCATCTTAAAGGAGGGCAGAGATGCTGGAGCATGTCTTAGAGATGGATACTAAAGGCTGTCCATCAGCAAAGTTGAGTATGCACAGGGCAGCATGAGGGTGGCTGGGGAACAGATGACTGGTGGGGATGAGGTAATAGTGATCATAGTAACAAAGGGCTCAATAGGAAAAAAGTTCCATATATAAGATGGATGCACAGAGAGATGTAGAAATATAGAGAGATGAAGGTGTGGATGAAGTAAATGCAGATGCTGATACAGATGCAGGTGCAGCTGTGGGTGTAAATGCAGGCGCAGGTGCAGATGCATATACACACAATGCAGACACAGAACAGGTGCAGACACAGATATAGATAAAGACACAGATTCAGATTCAAATGCATGCTTGGATACAGAAACAGATGTGGACATAGATACAGATGCAGGTGCAGGTGCAGATACCAGTGCAGACAGATACAGAGGGAGATGCAATAGCAGATGCAGACAGACACAGATGCAGATGTAGAGACTGATGCAGACTGATGTGGATGGAGATGCAATAGCAGATGCAGACAGGCACAGATGCAGATACCAGTGTAGACAGATACAGATGGAGATGCAGTAGCAGATGCAGACAGACACAGATGCAGATGTAGATATCGATGCAGACAGATACAGACAGAGACACAGCTGCATAAAGATGTAGACTTAGGTGCAGACACAGATGCAAATGCAGATGCTGAGCTCATGAACTTTCCAAGCCCATAGATAAAAGCACAAAATACCTGCAGCTTTTCTATCAGAGATAAACTGGCAGATAAATAAAAACCTATACACAGTCGGGAGACACAGCTTTGCTCTTCTCACTCAGTACCAGAATACCCTGTCATGCATTCTGTCCTGTAACATTGGCAATGAACCATACATAGCTATGAGCCCTTGAGCATGTCACAACCCATCTTGCCTCTCCTTCTCCTACTCACCAAAGAGGATAACTACCTGCCTGCCTACCTATCTACCTACCTAGGTTCACTATGTAAAAATATAAGAGTCAAATTAATCAATCTTTAATTTTCATTACTTTATGGGTATGGGTGGTTTGCTTGCATGTATGTATGTGTATTGTGTCCATATCGTGTGCCTGCAGAGACCAGAGGAGGGTGTTGGATCCTCTGGAACTGAAAGTACAATTGTGAATCACTGTGGGTTCTGAGACTCGAACCAGGTCTTCTGGAAGAACAACCAGTACTCTTAAACCACTGAGCCATCTCTCCAGACCCAAAATAGTCAATCTTTAAAGAGAGATTACTCTTTTAAACATTTTCTATATGCTAACTCATTTGATCCTTAGAGAAGTCTTATCAGGTCAATGTTATTATCATCCCCCATGTAAAAGAGAGGTAAACTGGGTCATGGGACAGCTTCATACCTGCCTGGTGTTCCATAGCAGGGAAGGATTTGAACCAGTGCCCTGACTCTTTACTACTTTGCTCTAAAGCCTAATTGCAAAGAGCCCTGACTAGGTTTCAAAGACTTGTAAATTACAAGAACTATTGGGGCTCCTTGCTCTTGGGAGGCTGCAGAGTACATCAGCTTCCCCAGGCAAGGGTAAGGCCACAGCCAGAGTTCTGCATGCAGAGTACCATGAGTTTCCCCAGGCAAGAGTAAGGCCACAGCCAGAGTTCTGCATGCAGAGTACATCAGCTTCCCTGGCAAGGGCAAGGCCACAGCCAGAGTTCTGCATGCAGAGTACATCAGCTTCCCTGGCAAGGGTAAGGCCACAGCCAGAGTTCTGCATGCAGAGTACCATGAGTTTCCCCAGGCAAGGGTAAGGCCACAGCCAGAGTTCTGCATGCAGAGTACATCAGCTTCCCTGGCAAGGGTAAGGCCATAGCCTGGGTTCTGTGGATGCTTAGCCATGGGCTTGCTTTCTAAGAGTGAAGAAGAGAGTACAACCCTCTGTCATGCCAGCCACAGGACAGTTATGTTGTGAGTTCTCTCCAAGCACATCTCTGCTACCAGGAGCAGGTTTGTCTGTCTCCAGGAGACAGGGGTTGTCAAATCCCCAGAGAAGAGCAGGCATGTCAAAAATAGCAGCACCAGCAGACTTTGTGGCTGCAATTTCCTTTTGAAATGTTGGCTTTGCTTTCACCAAAGGGCCCAGGACTGAATGCACTCTATGCAGCCAGCAGCAGACTGCTTAGGGTCCCGGGATGTCTTCTAAGGGCAGGCGTCTACACAGAGGAGTCTAAAGGGGGTGTGGACAGCAGATCTTACAGTTCAATGCGTGGGTCTGTGGACTCCTCCATAGTATCCATGATGAGGTTACAGTTGTATTAAAAAAATAAGAGTCATAAACCTGAGCAGGGCTAGGTACCAAAGAGGTCTAGTTTAGACCAGCATTAACACTGAGTTTCTGTCTAGCAGACTTCTCCCTCCGCCCCTGCCTTTTATTCTGTGAATGAGTCTGTATTCTGAAGGAATGACACTTGAAAACTTGTGGATAGATGGGCAGTGGTGGCTCACGCCTTTAATCCCAGCACTAGGGAGGCAGAGGCAGGTGGATCTTTGTGAGTTCGAGGTCAGCCTGGTCTACAGAGATCCAGGAAAGGCGCAAAGCTACACAGAGAAACCCTGTCTCAAAAAACAAAAAAACAAACAAACAAGCAAAAAATCTGGTGAATAGCAGGCAGCTCCACTACCCTCTGTAGGGACACTGTGTAAACAAGGGCATGGGGACAAAGAAGGGACAGAGAGGGCAGAAGAACCACTCTCCGGTTCAGAGCAAAGAAACATGAAAACATCACAGGCTCCATCCCATGAGGCCTTCAAGCCCGGAGCAGGAAAGCGGCAGCATGAGAAGCAGGCTCCCATCTGTCCGCGTCCCAGTGGCCTGCGTCTGGCAATCTGTGTCCTCCCTCCAGAGCCCTGTGCTCCAGGCCTCACTCTGCTATGAGGTGTCTGTGCAGAGGAGTCGAAAGGGGGCGTGGGCAGTGAATCCTACAGCTGAACGCATGAACTCCTCTTCCTCCCGTAAGTGACCATGACACATCAGAAGGAGGACACGCTTCCCTTCCTCAGGCAATAGCTCACAGTCAAGGCCAATCCGAGTTAGACAGTAGTTCCCGGCAGACGGTCCAGGGAGTCTGACATCTCCTGGGAATCTTTCCTGGCATTCACAGAGATGCAGGTGAGAGGAAAGAGTGCCGCAAGCCAAGCCTGGGTCAGGGGAGGGAGAAGCAGTGTGCAGAAGACAAGCAATAGGAGTCGGAGGTGTCACATGGAGGGAAAGCCCCAGAGGAGGAGAGGGACAAGGCTCTGTGGGCACAAGGCAATACAAAGGGACACCAGAAGGCCATATGAAAAGTATGATAAACTCCAACCACTTTGATTTAAACCAAAGCCTAGAAGACTGCCAGCCTCTATCACACAGGGCTATTAAGGGTTAACAATGACCTCAGGAAAGAGTGAAAGAGGGTGAAAAATGACTAAACTTAGTTCCTGATGCTTACAGATGTGAGGATTTGGTGCTTTGGGGGGAAGGGGCTCTGTGAGGTTGCTTTGCTCTGGAACGCAGTATGAACGCCTGAGCAAGCCCTTGCCCTGCTCTTGTATGCTATGATGTGTGCAGTGCCAGCTCATGTAGAGAACGGCCTGATGGGTCTTCAGAGGAATGCTGAGCATATAAATCTCATGAAGCTTGACAGTCAAAACAAAACACCCCAACACATACAACATAGATTCCCATACACCCCACACATGCCACATACACACCATAAACATACACACACCACACACATACCACATACACACCATAAACATACACATACCACACACATACACACCACACACACACACACACACACAAAACATAGACTCCCACGCACCCTACACATACCATATACACACCATAAACATACACATACCACACACACACGCACACACACACTACATATACACGCCACAGAGATCCCAGAGGCACCACACACACCACATAACACACATACTACACACCACCACATACATAGCACATACATACACACACCAACACACACACACCACATGCACGCACACACACACACCACACCACAGAGACACACATATACCCCACAGCACCTTCACAGACACCATGCACACACACATACACACATACCACACTCATATACCACACACAATACACATACCACACTCATATACAACACACACCACACACACAAACACAGACCACACATGCACACACAATATACACATGACATATACCACTCAAACACTATAAACACACACATAAATGCACCATGTACACACCCAAGGGAGATCTCTCCTCTCTCTCTCTCTCTCTCTCTCTCTCTCTCTCTCTCTCTCACACACACACACACACACACACATACACACATGCGCACACACGCGCGTGCACGCACGCGCGCGCGCACACACACACACACACACACACGCACATGCCCCACTTCTTTATATTTTGTGGCAGCTACAAGGAGGAGCTACAGGAAAACTCTAAAGCTGCAGAGGAAAATGAACCGTTATGCTAATGCAGGTACTCTGCATGGTCCATCCTTTCAATTTATAAAACCAGAACTTGTACCAGCTCATGAGAAGACCTGGGCCATCAGACTCATGTCTCTCTCACCTAAGTCATACAACTTTCAACACACCTGTTTTAGGACAGCTCTGTCACCCACAAAAGTTCTCTGGTGCTAGTTTAACAGCCTGAGTGAGCCGTGTGTGTCCTGACGGCCACCAGGATGTCCTGCTGTAATGTCCAGGGCAGGGACATTACACTCACCCTACTATGGGTTGGCTAGTGAATCTTGGTCTTCCACATCAAGATGTGTGCCCTGTGCTTTACATCACTGGGAATGGTGCCTTTTCCTCTTGCTCTGCCTTGAGGACGCAAGGAGCCAGCCAGAGGCTGAGCAAGCCTTCCAAGTGCTGAGTTGTTATCAGATCTGCCCTTTGTTAAGGCTTCCTCCAGACTAGTCCAATTTTCTCTGTTTCACCATTTTTACTGTTTCTTTGACTCCAACCTCTCTGCAAAGCTCCTAAGGTTGGAGGATGCTGAGATGGACATACTCCAGTGCTAAATGGCCGCGTATCTGAGACTCAAATTCATTATCTAGATATTATCATCTCTATTTCTGTCTCTCCCCACATTCCTTCCTCCCTGCCACCTTTCCTCTTTTATCCTAGCATTTTCATGCTCAAGAAATTTCTAGAGGACGTTTTACTAACCCCATGGAATCTCATCTCATTGCGTAAGTGCAGCTCCTCTGAGAACAGAGAGCGTGCAAGGGAAATACGGTACCCTGACATGCCAGGGAAACAGGAAATCTTCTTAGCAAAATCCTGGGTCACAACTGTCCTGTAGTCCAAAGTATGGCCCTCACAGTAATGCCAAAGGGGCTCCCAAAAGTCAAAAGGGGGGAGGGGAGGGGAAAGAGAGATAGAAATATACGTGGAAGGAAGACCTGTTTAAATGGAGTAGGAGGGGTAGAAAGAAGAGAGTTGGGGAAGAAGAAATGTATATATATCTTTGGAAGGAGAGGAAGACTGCAGAGAAAAAGTAGGGAAAAGCAGGGGGAAGAAGGGAGGGGACAGAAACAGATGAAGACAGAACCACACAGCAAGGAAGATAGACAGTAAACCCCTGCTCCACCGGCTGCTGAGCCCACTTCCCCTCACCACTCTGTTAGGGCTGAAAGACCTCCACTGGAGGACCTACCTCGGGTTCAAGGAAGGCCAGCTGTCCCTTGCTCCTCTGGGATGCTAGGCGGGAGGAGTGTCCTCATCCCATGCAGAAATTGGCAGTCCCAAGAAGTCTTCTGGGAGCCCACACTGGCTTAAGTCTGTTATTAGGATGGCTTGGACCCACCTTCTTGGGCAGCTGTGATCCTATTCCAGCTGTTGAGGCAGCACACGGTGCATATAACTCCTGGTGCCAAGGTTACAATGTCCACATGGAGGCTCAGAAACAGGGAGGGGTCACTGGACAAAATTCTCCACAAAAACTAGATTGGGTCACTGCCTCTCAGCTTCTGTATGACATCCTAAGAGCCACCTCTGAGCTTCTTGCCAGGAGAAACGTTGCTCCCTGGGAGGGAGAGATTTCACTCTTCTTGGTCTCTCTTAGATCTGGGAAAAGCCTGCATCTAAGACAAGAATGCCATGACACCTCAGACTGGTGTCATCCATGTCCTCAAGGCCTGGCCTGGCTGCTGTGGAAGGGACATTTTGTACCCTCTCTGAGGTCTCCTTTCGAAAACCTTAACGTTGCTGTTGGCTTCATTGGGCAGCTTTTAAGCATTCAAGTTTCTGAAGACTCGGGAGTAAGATGTGGCAGCTTCGGGGACCAGATATGGAACCAGGAAAAAGAGATTCAGGCAGGAAGTGTTGAGAATTTACTTCCTCCACATTTTCAAAGGTCCTGAGTCCTTGTCTTTAGTTCTACCAATGCCTAAACCAATAGAAGGGAGGTGCTCCCACTTAAGAAGCTGGGATGTGTAGTCTATTCTCCCTTGATACCCAGATCAGTAGGGAGAACAGTCTGGAAGGTTGCTACGGCAACCAGAGTCCCTGGAGAGCCTGGCTCTCCACAAACCTTTCACTTTCAGGCATGCTCTGACTTGAAAAGGCAATGTTTGCGGAAGGACAAGGACAGTGATGAGGGTAACGATATATACACACACAGAGATCCATGCACACATGTCCCCACACTCACCCTCAGCTAGGGGCATCCCTTTGGCCACCGGGGTGGGCTCAGGGTGACTAAAGTGGTTGGACACGAAAAGCACTTTCTTTCTGGCATTGGAATTAGGTCTCTGAACCTTAAATATCCCTGTCTTTTACTATATTCCAGGCTTGGAGAAGTCAGTCGCCTAGGTAAAGTGACCTCTGGCCACCAAGTCTACTTCAAGAATACACTCCATTCTGAAGGATAAGGGAGAGGATGGAGGCCCAGCCCAAAAGGCCAGTGAGAGACTGAGAGAGCTAATGGTCTACAATGGCCTAGTCTTGGGCTCTGGATGCAAGGTGGAAACTTCTGGGGAAAGGCCTTGCCTTTGGGAGACAGGAAGGCAGGATAATGAACTAAAACTCAAATCCATTACTATAATTCACACACTTGCATAACATCTTCCCCACCTTCCGGGGTGAGTTTATTGATATTCCCCATGAGGTAGGGAGGGGAAGACATTAATGTTCTCACTTAATGGATGGGGAAACTGAGGCACAAAGAGGGACTGTGACACCAAAGTTACCCTGTAAAGCTGTGGCAAAACTGAGATCGTGATCTGTCACTCACTGGAGCCACAGTGGCTCTCAAGCCAACCCCCAGGTCAGTCCCTTTGTAAGTTGCTCTTCGAGAAAAACCTTTTTAAAAAGCATTCCCTTTAAAGAGTCTTAAAGTGTCCATATAAAATTAAAAAAACACCGGAACAGTCCTTTGGGGTTCAGAACTGCACCCATGAGAACTGAGAACAGTACATCACAGTTTGTCAAAGGCAAAACTGAAGGGCGATGTTACTTGGGGAGGGGGGCAGTAGGTAGCTGGAAGGGGTGGTGGTGGTTTCACAATGGGAGAAGATGGCTTGGTCCAAGTGGGAACTACCGAGTTACCTTTGCAGTTAGAGCAGGCCAAATGCAGCTCCAGAGGAAGAGCAGAACAGACAAACGCTTGCTTGACTCAGCAAAATCCCCTAAGAGTGAGGCTGTCAACAAAATGACCGTATGCCTGTTTCTGGCTCCAAACCAAGTGCTGTTGCCCGTGGCAGGGGAGGAGAGCTATGCTGGCATTCAATGTGTGAACTCACCTGTCTGCAGGATAAAGCTGAGGTTGCTTTGTTAAAAAAAAAAAAAAAAAAAAAAAAAAAAAAAAAAAAAAAAAAAAAAATCATCTGCAATCCTAGGTCCCAGGAAGAAGGGTGGAGGATACCTTAGAGAAGTCTGGGCTAACTAGGGAGAATTGGCTGCTGTCTGCAGCAGAGTCCCTCTGCCTGTCCAAGGTGACAGTCTCTGCTAAGTGGCACCTAGGGTCAGATATGTGGCCCAGCCAGTCACTTGGCTCTGGGTCAGCCTTCTCTCCTGGCTCTGTAGTTCCATTTTCCAGTTCCTCGGCTCACAAAGATGCTCGCACAAAGAATATTTGGCTCTGAGAAGGAGTCTTCCTGGAAGCTCAAGGGAGTCAGAGAATTCGAGTAGAGAGGATTTATGTGGACCCCAGCCAGGGTCTCCTGTGCCAGATCACACCTAGAGGAATCGACCAGCCCCTTTGGTCTAGAACTGACCCTTAGGTCCTTCAGATAATCCAGTTGGGTAGTGTTTGCTCTAATCCCATCCAAATTTAGGCATGAATAACTGTGCAGCTGACAGCGCTCCCTGCCAGAAGGTGGATGGGGCACTGAGCTAAAACAGCAAGTTGAATTCTTTTCCAGTCTCCAGATTCTGTCAGTGACCAAGTGGCCAGAAGCTAAGGAAGGTGCATGACCCAAAGCAAAGGACGCTGAAGAAGAGACCTGAGTAGAGCTGCTTCCTATTCTATTGATGTCACCATTCCTAGTGATATTACAAGACCCAGGCATGAAGTCTTGAGGGAAGATCAGGCAGAAATGTGTATCTCATCCACTTGATAGATGGGTATGACTGGGCGGCACCGTTGAAATTTCCAAAATGTCACTAAGATGGAGAAACCTCGAATGCTGTGAGGATTGAGCAACAGTCTACAGTCCAGGTATTTGGTCCAGGATGCCGTGTACTGGGTACGGGGGAGGGGGTTCGAGGTCCTCTGGAGCTAGGGCGGGAGTAGTGAGCATGAGAAGGAAGCCTGAGAGATGGCTTGCTCAGAGCTCCCATTTTCCTGCAGGCCCTGCCTGCATCCATCAAACCTCAGTGAGCATCCTTTTCTCTGCATAAGCTCGATGTGGAGTTGGAAGGTAGCTAGGCCGCCGTTCTCGTGAAGCCTCGGAAAAGTCAGCTTTGCCAAGCCCATTGTCTGTTGCCTTCAGGTCCGGTGTAGGCTGCCCACAGGTGACGTGGGTATATTGGCCTTGCTCTTCCTGTTCTGTTTCTCGGTGGTAGAAGTAGTTGAAATTGGAGACAATGACCGGTACTGGTAGAGCAATGGTGAGAACTCCAGCAATGGCACACAATGAACCCACAATCTTGCCCCCCACAGTCATGGGGTACATATCCCCATAACCTACCGTGGTCATTGTAACCACAGCCCACCAGAAGGCATCTGGGATGCTAGGGAAGAGCGAGTCGTCATCATCTGCCTCTGCGAAGTAGACGGCGCTGGAGAAGAGGATGACTCCGATGAAGAGGAAGAAGATGAGTAGCCCCAGCTCCCGCATGGATGCCTGCAAAGTCTTACCCAGGATCTGCAGCCCCTTGGAATGGCGGGAAAGCTTGAAGATGCGGAACACCCGGACCAGGCGAATCACCCTGAGGATGGCTAAGGACATGGCCTGCTGCCCATTTTGGCCACTGCCACCACTCACGGACTGCTCGTGACGTTGCACTAGCTCAGTGCCCAGGGTGATAAAGTAGGGAAAGATGGCCACCAAGTCAATGATGTTCATGATATTGCGAAAGAAGGCCGCCTTGCTGGGACAAGCAGAGAAGCGCACCAGGAGCTCAAAAGTGAACCAGACGATACACAAAGTTTCCACCAGAAAAAAAGGGTCCGTGAAGAAGGAACCCCCGAGAGTACTGAATGAGGACGCTCCCCCGGTCCCCACCCCCGCAGGGGGAATGCCACCGGGAAATGCATAGGAATCCTCATCCTCCTCTTCTTCCTCGTGGCTCCCCCTGGAGGCCGGGGACATGCGGGTCCCACTACCCTCATTGCTTCCGCCACGCCCATCTGCACGGAACTGGGGCAAGGTCTCCAGGCAAAAGATGACGATGGAGATGAGAATGACCAACACTGAAACGATGGCGATGCCTCGAGCGGGTCCAGAGCTCTCCGGGTACTCAAAGAGGAGCCAGACCTGGCGCTGGAAGGGCTGGGAGGGGAGTGGTTTCTCATCTTCGCCACCTTCGGGCAGACAACCCTCATCCTCCCGGAAGGCCGCCAGGGCTTCGTCCCCCAACTGATAGAAGCGGATCTCTTCCATAAAGATGTCCAGGGGCACGTTGACCGGCCTACGCAGGCGGCCCCCAGATTGATAGTAGTAGAGGATGGCATCGAAGCTGGGTCGGTTGCGGTCAAAGAAGTACTCGTTCCTCAGGGGGTCAAAGAAGCGGACTCTGCGGCCAGGGTCTCCCAGAAGCGTGTCGGGGAACAGCGATAGGGTGCGCAACTGCGTCTCGAAGCGCAACCCGGAGATGTTGATCACCAGCCTCTCACTACTACAGCAGCCACCGCCGCCCTCGGCCTCCTGGAACTCTCCGGCATCCTGTTGCTCCCCCTCCGGCCCACGGACCTCCCCCGGCGCCGCCAGCGTCAAGGATTTCTCCGATCTCATGTCCCCTTGGCGGTGCGCTCCCCACCACTAGGACGGCGCCCACGACAGGAACTCGGGAGCGCGGCACACGCTTACCAGCTCCGGCTGCGCCCTCTTTTAGGGTGGGGCCGGCGATCTGACCTGGCGGTTAGGTCGGTGAAACCTGCAGCTGGTTCCTCGGCCAGGCTAGTTCTGGGATGTGGCTCTGGCTCCCAGCAGCCACGCCTCAGTGCTCAAGATTACTGGGATGCCTGGAACCCGCAAACTGTCGCGCGCGTGAAACTGGCTGCCCGAAAAGACGCGTGGCTTAGCTCCCGGTGGTGACTAAAACTGGGCTCGGGGACCCACGAGTCCGCCTTCCAGACCTGCTGGCTCTCTCCGGGTCCTGCTGTTCTTCTCCCAGCCTTACAAGACCCTGGGTTGCCGCTGGTACAGAAGCGCCAGATGCGCCTCCCTCCGGCTCGCCAAAGACTCTTGCCGGGGCTCGGCCTCCGCCTCCGCCCTGCGTCCACCACCGAACTAGGTCTGGCCAAGGTCGCGGTTCCAACCGCCACCTTCTTCCCAGGAGCTGTTCCACAGGCCTTGGGACCGCCCTGGGGCTGCCCAGGCGCCGGAGCGCAGGGACCCACCTCCCACAGCTTCAAGCCTTGGCTACGCCGGCAGCAGCGACAGCAGCAGCAGCAGCAACAACAGCAGCAACAGCAGCAGCAGCAGAAGCAGCAGCAGCAGGCACTGCTCTCCGCTCTGCCCTTCCTCCCCAACACTCTCCAAGTGACGTGGCAGGCCCCGCCTGCTGCCCCCTCCCACCCCACTCTCCCATCACACCCCTTACCCAGCCAGGGGCTGCAGCAAGCCTAGATGCTGGGGAGAGATATGTACACTTGCCTCCCCAGTAATCTTTCCCGCGCTCGCCTGGCACGCCTCTTGCTTTCTCACATTCACACACACACGCCCCCACCCCCACCCCAACCCAGCCGCCGCAGTATTAACGCACCCCCTCCATCCTTCACATCTCTTCTCATTTCTGTTCACCGGGCTGACCTGCGCAGTGTATTTCACCAAAAAGAAATCACACCCTGGCCCAACACACCCCTCCCCTGTACACAGCATCTGACTCCCCTCAACAGCTACTTAATGGGGGAAAGAATGCCATGTTTTCTCTATCCATGAAGACACATTTGCCGATTTCAACCTCTACCGAGAGTGGGGGAAATGAAGTATTTTTAAATGTCTTGAGAGCTTTGCGTTTAGGCTGTATCCCAATGTTAATTCCCCCATAGACTCACATTTGCAACCTGGAAGGGTGGGGCTGCAGCTCTCTTCATGGCATTAGTGATAGTAACAGGGGAGGGAAAGTCTACCCATGCCCAGTGAGTGGGAAACCCTCTCATGGAGTCCTGGGAACACCCGCCATTAGCTCCTATGAAAAGAACCGGAAGATCATAGTATTAAAGATACACAATATACAGGGAACTGCAACCCAGAATCTTTGTTCCAAGCCTCCCTGGAGGGGAAAAGAAAAAAGATTGTGTAATTTATATTTATTTGTGTCAAGAAAGGGGGAAGGATAACTGGAAATGGGGTACATCAAAATGTCAATAAATTACAGCTATGTTCAATGAGCGTCTAATGGACACATTTTAGGTGCTTCTCCAGAATAATGGCCTCTACCCCTAGGCCATGTTACAATGGAGTCTCATTTGGCAGGATTTGGATGGGGCAAAATGGGTTGTGAGGGAACCCATGCCTCTTACTCTGCCTCTCTTTGAATGCCAGCAAGGTTTCCCATCCATTCTGCTAAAGGCTTTAGACTGTTTCCTCCCTAGCTCTCATGGATGAAGATGCTGGAGAGTGCATCTTATTCTTTCAGACTGCCACATCCAGGCAGCTTGGCCTTGACTTTCCCGTGGCCAGAGTGGATTGGCTGGCAATGGCCAGCCTCTCTGTGTGGCTGCTTCTTCATAAGAAAGAGCTTCAAAAGGGCTAAGGATGGGAATGGCACATAAAGATTGTCTCAAGCCCCGGAATGCAAGTGTGGGTTCTTAGCCATCCCTTATACACAGACTGTTTTAAAATCACAGCAGCTGCTCCCAGAGGGATGAGGCAGAGGAGAAAACCAGAGCTCCTGGACCTGTAAGGAGGAAGTCAAGGGGAGAGAAAGTAAGAGGGAAGCTGGCTTCAACACCCACTGTGCTCTCCTGTGTCCGTCCCTCCGCGGTCTACCGGACCGGACCATAGCCTCTTCTCCCCTTCTGCTCAGCTTGGTCTCCTCCTTCCCTCCCTTGTGCAGTTCAGGGAAGGGTGAGAGAGCAAGTGCAGTGCATTCACCCAGTCGATAGTTTTCCCATTTACAGGCTGTGTAATTAAGCAATTTAGACTTCACACAAAAGTTACTCCATTCAAAGAAAAAAATTAAATAAAGCAACAATAAATACGATGTAGGAAATACACTCTCTTGTCCTGCATTCTGCAATTACTTTCTGTGTTGTGAATTCACTTGCCTGGGATTCTTTGGGCTTTGTTTTCTAATTTCATCACGAATTATTCATTTGCATGCTTGTTGTCCCCATGGCCACTTTCCGCCAAGCAGTTGTCCGTGAGATCAGTCACAACCAAACAGGGGTATGAGAAGAAGTTGATTCTTCTAGAAGATGCATCAGATAGCCATTTGAATGCTCCTGGTCAACTGGCTGGCACTGCCTCCCATCCTACAGGCAGAACTTGGGTTTGTGGTTACCTTCACATCAGACAGAGGGCTGAGCCCCTAGAAAGGCTTCATTGTACACTGGGAGGTTCCCTTGGGAGGCAGAAGCCATTAGCAAATTCATGAATCAGACTTCTGTTTTTAGTTCTTTTGTGAAACAGACTCATTCTCTGTGCCTAGATAGTTCCTCTTAAGTAGATATTAAGGATGAATTTTAAAGAATCACACCTTCAGAGGTGCCAGCTTCCTGAAGAAGGAGGATATGCCGCTCACCTCTCTATATAGACACTGTGTTGCTGCTTCCAATCACAGGTACTTGTGATCTGACCATTCCTCTGCCATTCACTGGGCTCTGATTCATTTCAGCACAGACTATTTGTTTACTGTATCTAAAAATTAAACATCTGCAGTGACCATTGAGGTTAGTCATTTATTCAATTAGTCACTAATTTAGCAGCTACTGGGTGGCCACTGTAGTGTCAGACGCTAAACAGTGAACAGTGAATACATTCCTTTCTAACCCAGGAATCTGTGCCACACAACGAAGAAGATATTTACACACTATACATAATAAAGAGAATAAAGGGATGCTATGTCATGGATGGATGTAGAAGATAGAACTTTAAAGAGCATGGTTCTGTAATGGTTAATTTTAATTGTCAATTTAACTGAACTTAGACTCACCAATGAGACCGACTTCTGGCCATGTCTATGAGAGGGTATTCCCAGAATTTAACTGAGGAGAGAAGATCTGTCTGGAATGTGGGCAGCACCATCCAACTGGTTGGAGTCCCAGACAAAATAAAAAAGACAAGACAAGCTGAGTGCTTGCATTCATATCTCTCTCTTTCATTTCTTGATGGCAGACACAGAGTAATTAGCCTCTGTTCCTTCCGCCTGGCCCTCCCAGCCATCATGTGAGACACACCTGGGAGACAAAAACGCACCCTTCCTGTCTTACGTTGCTTTTTGGTCAGGTACTTTGTCCCAGTGATAACAAAGGTAATTAGTCCAGTGCCCCTGGCAGAAGGAATGTTTCTAGTAAGAATTCAAAGTAGAGAGGGGATCCACCAAGTTAATCAGCCAGGAGAGAACATTCTGGACAGACAAATGAATGCGAAAGACCAGACAGGTTGTGAGCATTGAAGGCTCACACAGACCATGCAAGGAGAAGAGTAAAGGACATTGAAAAAGGAACACGGGGTAAGATCTGGCAAAGTGAGGTATTTAGGTTTTGTGAATCTAATAGCAGTTCCCATGTGGAGGAGATGTGGTTTACACAAAGGATAAAATAAGAAAGAACTCAAGGGACTGCCTTAGTTACTGTTCTATTACATGGTGATGAAACACCATGACCAAGGCAACTTCTAAAAGAACACATTTAATTAGGGGCTTGTTTACAGTCTCAGAGGATGGGTTGAGAGTGTGGAGACAGGTAGGCAGGCATGGTACTGGAGCAGTAGCTGAAAGCTTACATCTGATCCTCAGGAAGGAGGCAGAGAGAGGGGGTGGGGCTGACATGGGCTTTTGACATCTCAAAGCCCATCCCCAGTGACATAGCTTTTCCAACAAGGCCACCTTCCTAATCCTTCCTAAACAGTTCCACCAACTGGGGACCAAGCATTCAATCATATGAGCCTAAGGGGGGCATTGTCATTCAAAACCACCACAGGGACAAAAGAAGAAATAAAAAGACTAGGAAATGAATGGTATTCTGAAGAAAAGATGATGGTAAATTGGACGAAGGTAAGTAATTAGGGTAAGTAGAGTGGGCAGAGATTCTGGAAATGGGTGACTTTGGCCAATGGAGCATTGGGAACTGGTTACCTATGAGAAATAAGCAAGGAACATGTCAGGGCTTAGTTGGAGTAACAGGGTGGATCATCAGTGTGATCATTTAGGACAGGGAAGATGAGGGATTAAGCCAGTTGAGTAAATCAAGATCTTGTTTGTAGAGATATTAAATTAGAGAGGCAAAGCAGGCATGCAAATGAAGTCATCATGGTTGTAGTGGCTGATTTGGGTCTGTAACATAGATGAGAAATATAGGATTTATGAATTTTTAAATTTAGAAATATCTAAATCTATGGCACTAAATTCTTTTAGAAGAAAAGACAGAACATAGACACCAGAAGATATGTGCCAAACAGGATGGCACATAATTGATGATCATTTCTGCCTATTATGGTTTTGTTATTGTTTACTGAGAGAGGGTTTGATATAAATAACACAGGCTTGTCTTGAACTCACTGTGCAACCAAGGATGACATTGAATTCCTGGTCCCCCCACATTCACTTCCCAAGAGCTAGAATTATGAGTATGAGGAGCACCCCTGGCCTTTTTTCTTCTGTCTTCGTTGTTTTGAGACAGGACCCCACTATGTATCCCAAGCTGGCTCTGAACTCAATATATAGGTAGCCCATACTGGTCTTGAACTCTCAGCCTTGCACTAGAATCACAACTTAATAATTTTCTTAGCTTGACCACACATCATAAAACATGTTGATCTGAGTATACAAATGACAGTTCTGATCTATTTTTTACTTCATTTTTACCTTTCTGTGTGTGCGTGTAAACTTGAGTGTTTGACTTTATCCTGGCCATAAGATCCCTGGAGTTCTCCATAGGGAACGTCTGGGGGGTCGGAGTGGGGGGGGGGCTGCTTTTCCCTGCCCTCCTGCCCTCCTGCCCTCCTGCCCTCCTGCCCTCTCCTAGTGATCAGGGCCATTTTTGCTGAGCCTTACCTGTGCGTGAAGACACATCCTCCCTCAGAAATATCTCCCATGCCCGAGCTTGCACTGTGAGTGCAGACCGGTTGGAGCTGGCTAGAAGCAGGGGTAGTGAGTCAAAGTCAGGCACTGTATCCCCATCCTGCTGATGCATCTCCACGCAAGGCTCATCGCTGCGTTTTCGGCTGTGCGCCATGAATTGTGCGGAAGTTGTTCTGACCCGAGACAGTCAGGACTAACAGGCCCCAGCCTCCCTTTTCACTATTTCCCCCAAGACTTGGGCCATTTCTACTTTCTTGCAATGTTCCCATCCTTTCTCTGCTGGAGTGGTGAGGGAGAAAGCTCCAGATCCTAGAAAGCCTTGAGGGGAAGAATGAACAATTGGATGATTCTATACTTTACAGATAACTTTTGTTGTTTCATTTTGTTTACCTTCCATCTTTATAGCTTTATACATAAAACACACACACACATGCACGCACGCACACACTGCTCATCTAATAGTGACATTAAAGGTATCTTAAACTTGAGAGTGAATTTCCTGCCAGTAGCACCCACTGGTCCCACAAGCTATCTGAAGACTGCTTGATGGTATAAATCTTAGCCTAATGTCCCTTCCCCACTCAGTTAAGAGGCTGGGAGTCATGTGACTACTTCCTTTCTCCTCAGCTTTCCCATGCACTGAGGAAGAGCAAGTGCACATACCTACCCCCTAGGTGAATACTATTTCTAATGAACTGTGGGGTTGAGGTTTTTAAATGAGGAGGAGGAGGGTGTTGATAGCCAGATGGTGATGTTGATCTTAGGGCTGGTGAATCTGCCAGCGAGAATTCAACAGTTCTCACTGGAGTGAAGACATATATTGGGAAAGGAATGCATTAGACATCTGCGCCCTGCAAATCAACAGCCTTTGGGAAGGGCTCTCCATGCCAAGAAATCCATCCACAAGAAACTCCTATCTTTCAGAGAAGATCCCAAAGGAGCTTGCTAGCATCATAAGTTGGCAACCAGCTTCTTCTCATTTTCTTGCGGGGACAGGCAGGGATGCTGCTCTGCATCCCTCTAGATTTAGGAATGCAGGATCTTGTACTCTCCAGCTTACTTGTGACTGGGCGGTACATGGGAAAAGGGTCTGGACTGTGAGTTATAAGCAGAAGGGGTAGGTGGGGCTTCTGAACCAAAACATTTAATCGTTAGTGGGAAGCTCTGCTCAGAGCTTTTCCCCTCCAACTACAGTGGCCAGCACTGCAAAGCACCATGGTTGGCTGCTCTGCCAGATGCATTCCACAATGAGGGGACATGAAGCTAGACCACGCCTCATAGCCCCAAGCAAAGCAACAGTAGTCTGAAGGAGAGAGAGCCCCAGCTGTTCCAAGTCTCCCATGTTCAGGGTGGCTCTGTTACCTTTATATAATTGAGTCTATCCAAATTGATTCAAAAGTTGGTGCCTGGGAGTAGAAACATGCTATAGCCAAACATTAACAATTAGCCACAATGTTTCACCAGCAGAATGATGGTCAGTGGAAGAAAAAAAAAACTAATTAAATGGTGTTGCTGGAAATGCATCTCAATTTGAAGAAAAAAAAACTGTAGTAATTTAGAAGGCAGATAAAATGTGCATCTCTAGGAAGACGTTCAAAAACAGTGAATAGCACTCGGTGGCTACTGCTGGCTCTGAGGGAGAATGTAATGGGCCACATTGATGAGCTCTGCAAAGAGCTGGCCAGCTGGCAAGAAGAAATGAAGTGGACAAGAGAGAGTCCAGGAAGGTGTAAGGGGAGGTCAGGGCTGGCAAAGATAACTGCCTCTTGTTCTACTCCCAATTCAGTGAGCAAATACTTAAAGGCCTGTGTACGAGAAAGGCTGGTTCGGGCTCAGACTTGCTTCCTGGAACAAGTGCTCTGAATAAAACAGGGTGGGCTAGAGCAAGCAGTTACAAAGTCAAGGCGTACAAACGCGTCACCTGAATTGGATACAGGGACATAGGGAGGAGAGAGGGAAGAAAACGAGAAAGAAAGAGAAGAGAGAGACCCTCCCACAGCAAACGGATAGTATCACATTATGCACTGCTATGTTTACAGTGAGAAGACACACACATGTCATACATGTAGTTATTGCCACTGGGGTGTCTGTAACAGGGAGAGAAGCCTAACAAGGCTTTCAGGCAGTCGGCATTACTCAGCTTCCCATCATTTTGACAAAATAGCTGTGATAATCAGTGTATCAGGGAGAAATGTTTATTCGGGGTTCCATCTTCAGAGGGTTTAGTCCATGGTCACAGGGTCCCACTTCTGGGGGCCTGGAATGGCACAGGACATCATGGTGGGAGCGTGTAGTAGAGACTTTTCACCCCAAACACCAAGAACGCAAGAAAGAGGAGATGAACTCAGAAGCCAGCATCCTCTTCTGTTATTTTTTGCTGCAAAGGCAGCTTGGGAAGGGAGGGTTTGCTGTGGGTCACAGTTAAAGTCGCCGTCCATCATGGTGAGGACATCCTGGGCACGAGTGAGGCGCTGGCTACACCGTGTTCACAGACAGGAGCAGGGAGAGAAGAATTCCGGCACTCTTCTTGCTTTCTCCTTCCTGTTCAATCTGGAAGCCCAGCCCATGAAATTATGCTGCTCTTATTCAGGGTGGCTGGTCCCGCCTCAGTCACACCTCTCTGGAAAGGCCCTCACAGACACACCCAGGGGTTTCTTCCTCTGGTGATCCCAAATCTCATCAAACTGAAAATCATGATTATCCATCACACCCCCAATGACCTAACTTCCTCCCATCAGGCTCCACCTCTTAAAGGTCCCACCATCCCTCCTGGGGCAACCGAGGATGTTAGGAGAAATTTATGATCCAAACCATAACACAGTCATTCCAGCAGAGGACCCATGACCTGGACTTTTCGGGAATATTCAGAACCTCCAGTACCCTAAATAAGCAGACTGGGTAAGGTGTTCAGTCCCCAAGGAAGATGCCACCTGCATTGCCTATCAGCTATGGCCAGCCAGCAAAAAGGAGAGCCTTGGGGGGGGGGGGTCGAGCAGTCAAGGGCCAGAGAACAGTAGACTGGGGACTCCACTAGGCATCTACGTAATGTCTCATGATGAACCAATAACTGCTTCTCATTCTCCTTCTTTGCCCTCCAAGTAAGAATATTGACTGCAGACACCCTATTGTGAGTAAACTGATAGCAGACATTTTGGGGTCCTGAGACTTTAACTCGGGAGGCTTCCATGCCCGTGACAGATTTGGAGTTCAGAACGTGTTACTCTCTAAGAGGAAAATTGCTGTTGCCCCATAAGTTGATGCTGGGGCTGCTTAGGGATTTTGGAATTAGCATACTTCCTGTGTGTGAGTCAGACACTTCATGACTTTAGTGGTCATTTCCGCTGTTTTTGAAGGATCTCTATCTCTCTGTCTCATGAGCACACTGTATGTTGTGCTCTTTCTGATCTTGGAAAGGCCAAGTGATATCATGTATCAGATCTGATTGGCATCACTTAGTGGCCAGAGCTCTCACCATCCACCATCCAAGCCACAAGAACGCCAGGGATGGATACAGAGTCTGAGAAACTCCTTTAGCATACCCCACCAAGACTTCCTAGCTGTGTATGACTGCATGCAGCACAGCCTTGTCTTTGCTGACCAACCTGCTTAGCCAAGTTCCTCTTTCTAAGTTGCGGCAACAGGGGTGATAAATGTTCTATCTTCTATCACTAAAGAAGAGAACTGCAATTCTTTTCATGAGATCATGGACTTCATTTCAGAAGCTTAACTGGGGTGATGTTTATTCTCATTGCTGCTTCTTTTCTCTCCTACCACACCATCCTGCAGAGAGCCCGTGTGTGCTTTTACGGGGCTGGTCTGCAGTTCTTTCTTTCCTTTGTCCACTCTCTGGCCTAACGGTATCACTGAGGTAGCAGCAGGCTGGCATCTCATTCTGATGTCCCATCTGATATCTCCAATGGGGTCATGGGCCCAGCTAAGCCTGCATGTTGTCGGGTCCTTTTCTCCATTAACCTTTCAACAAGCATGTAGTAGAGGTGGCCATCACTACTTGCAGACATTTAAAGACTTCTTACTGTGTTCTATGCACTTGGTTGAAAGCTGGGGGAAGGGTAGCAATTTTTCCTGGCCTCCTTTTAAAAATGAGAAAACAGAAGTACAGAGAAGATAATTTCTCAGGGCACAGGGCATCATCAAATACAACTAGCAATGTAAAGCCCATGTCAGAAAGTTCTGTTCATCACCTCTCAAACTGTATTATATACCATTCTAGTATACATCATGTTGATACATGTTTACACACACACACACACCACCACCACCACCACCACCACCACCACCTACAACAACAACAACAACTAAATGATTTTAGAACTCCTGTTTGCCAAATAGAGGTCACAATAAACATTAAAGTTGTAAAGGTTCCTATTATTCCTCAACGTTTTGTTTTGTTTTGGTTTGTTTGTTCTTGAAACAGCAGCCCAGGCTGGCCTGAAACTCACAGTGATCCTCCTGCCCTCGGTCTCCTGAATGCTAAGGATTACAGGCAGGAACCATCATGCCCTGCTGTACCTGAACATTACTTAAGATAATAGTTTCCCAGTGGATTGAACCATGGAAACCTGTTTGCTACCACCTTACATTGTGAGAGATGTGTGTTCCAGAGAACAATATTTAAGAATGAGATGGCAGACACCGAGCTCTAGAAGAGGTCATGATCATTTCCTTATACAACTGTACTGTTTGGTGATGTCAAGGTAGGGATTTGAAGTAAGGACACAAATTCCCACAGTTTGGGGGTATAGTGACTGGAATCCAGATTTCTTTACTCCCTCTGTATCAGGACTAAAAACCCAGCAGGCTGCAAATAGTGCTTCCGGGGCAAGGAGAGAAGCACCCTTCACTTAGCAGGTGGTCAATGAACTGTAGCTTGTGAGTAGCTGTGAGAGACAGAAAATGAATGTAGTATCCAAGAGATGGAGGAGTCAGGTGGCCTCTACAGTGGGGGCAGGGAATGCTAAGCTGGTGATACAAAACCTGCCAGAAGCCCTAGGGAAAGAAGAGCAAATTCTGTGTGTGTGTGTGTGTGTGTGTGTGTGTGTGTGTGTGTGTGTGTGTGTGTATGCATGTGTGCATGTGTGTTTATGTCTGTGTGTATGGCTATTTGTGTGTATGTGTATGTGTGTATGGCTGTTTGTGTGTCTGTGTGTCTGTGTGTGTCTGTGTATATGGCTATTTGTGTGTCTGTGTGTGTGGCTGTTTGTGTGTGGCTGTGTGTCTATGTGCGTGTCTCTGTGTGTGTGCCTGTGTGCATGTGTGTCTGTGTGTGTGTGTGTGTGTATGTGTGTGTAGAGAGAGAAGGGCAGGTGGTAAGGAGAAAACAAGTTGGACAAGACATAAACATGTGATTGTAAATATTGTACTAATTAGCAGACATGGAGGGAAGGCTTATCAGGATCAAGAATGTATTTAATACCTGCTTCTTTTAAACTGTTGTCTTGAAGTCTAAGTTTGTTGAGTATGATCCAGAAGAGATGGATGCTGAACTTTGACGCGGTGAAATCACAGTTTCTGTCTATTGTGTCTACTGTTTAATTTGCTAGATGAGGAAGACAGTCCTTTTAGTTCTGACAGCAAATTAAAGGGCCTATGGTTAGGAACAGAAAGGCCTAGGATATGCTGTGATGGGCAGCCTAAGGCAGAAGTTAAATTGCTTTGCATCAAAACAAAGAAAGATTATTTTCTCCCCATCAGGAACGTGGGGAGGCCTGTGCATTGTACAAGAGAGGAAATCGGAGGAAGAGTCAGCTGAAGAAGACAGAGGGTCCTCAAAACAGAGTGGGAAGGGCAGAGTCTCAGACACATTACCTGTAAGGCAGTATCTCAGCGGGGATGCGGGCTTCGACAGTGATGCCTGAAGGCCACTTTCAGACTGTTCTATTCTCGGCTTGATTCCCCCCACCCCAGTCTTGGGGGTCGAAAGCGCTGTTTCCACAGAGGAGGAAGTGTGAGTTTGGGTGGCATCCAACAGAAGAGACCCTACCAGGACCTCTCTCTCCTTCTCCTCTTAGGTGCAAACAGACTTGCGCAGAGAGGACCCTCCGCTTGCGTCTGACTCCTCTGCTGTCGGGTCATGTCACTGTGTAAGCCACTCCAGGAAGAGAGCCCTGGGTCCCTTGCTCAGTGAGTCGGGGTGTCTGTCTGGGGGGCTCTCTACAGCTGTTCTCCTTCCTCAGAGGCACGGGGTGTGATTTTGGTGTTCCGGTCCTCCTGCACTGGGGATATAATGAAATAGCCGGGGTTAAATAATGCAAAACTCCTGGCCGGTGGATGGTAACTTCTCTCTTTTTTTAACTACAGTTTCTAATTCACTCAGAGGAACAAATTATGTTTTATGGTCTTTTATAAAATATTCATGCCCTCCTCCCCCAGCACTCTCAGCGGTTCAGGAAGCCAGCAAATGGCTTGGTAGAAGGAGGATCTCATTTCCTCCCAGACACAATTTACAGAGGCAGCAGGCTCCTGACAAAGGAAAGGGAGGGCCTCGATGCCAGAACAGGCTGAGGGAAAGGCCCCTGGGCCCTCTGCTCTCCTCTAAACATGTCTCAGGACGTCAGGGGCTTAAAACAGGGTAGCGGCTCGGAAGAATGCAGGGGGTCTGGGTGGCACTTCTCTGGGAGTGCTTACCTCTTATTCACTTCTCTTTACAGGCAAAAGCCTCCCCACGAGCACCCACATCACACAGGCCCACCTTGTTTTCTGCATCCTCTTCTCTGATATATGTGTGTTGTTTCCAAGGCAACAGCAAAATGGCCAGTATATGGGGAGATGAAGGACAGGTTTGTGAACTGGATGTAGCAAGACTAATGGTCCTGACTCTTTCCTTTTCCATTTACCAGGACCTGAGTGACAAAAGGAGACACATGGATTCTGACCTTGCTTTGGAAGCGCATCACAGTTCGTGAGAATAGTCCATCCTGAGACAGAGATGCTAATGGTGGAGTGAAAGCCTAAGGTGGGTATGTGGCCACCTCCCCTAGGCCTCTGTTTCTTCTACACTGGAATGATCTTGGGTTAGAGGATGAGGAACGGAGCAAGTGAAAACCCTGGTTCTATGAGTGAGTACTCTGGGTTCTTACTCCTGGCTTGAGGCTGACACCATCTCAGAGAGGCCCTGGGCCTGGGCTCAGTGACTGGTAGAAAGAGACACCCGTCTCTCACAAGCAGAAGCAGAAGCAACTTCACCCCCAACACCAACCAGGAAAAGAAGAGACGTCATACCCTGCTGCCCACAGAGACTAAAGCCTGATTCTCAGAGGGGGTTCCAGAGTGACATTAGCCTCCAGCTGCACTGTGACCAGCACAGAGGCAGGGAGAGGACACAGACACTTTGGTCACCCCAGTACCTCTCCTCCTCTCCCCCTTCTGTCCCAAAGTATTCCTGTACTATCCTGTGTTAGCTTTGGAGGTCCTGAGAAAAGAAACAGCTGAGGTGTCTTACACTAGAACTACAGGAAATGACATTTTTAATTCACTCATCATTAAAAAAATCTCAAAGTACTTTGAGTTTCCTGTCTATTTCCAGAATGTGTTCATCAGAAAAGAAAACACCAGTCAATGAATGTGGCCATTGTATCATGCGAGTTAAGGCAAGAATCTGAGCTTTAGCAACTGCAAAACATAGAATTCTCTACCCATTTCAAGGCCAACTTGAGCTGTATTTAGGGATGTGGAGAGAATAAAAGGCTTGTGAGAAGAAACCTGTCTATCACCTCCTGGATTAGCCTGGTACACAGGAGCCTTGGCAGTTTAATTCCTCTATGTGCCAAATATGTATGAAGCACTGTGCTGCTTCCCATATCTCAAGGACAGTTCCACATTTACACTCATTTCAGTACCAATCACAATAGATAAATCATAGAATGAACCTAGGTGTTCAACAGCAGAATGGGTAAAGAAAACTGAGTAGGGGCTGGACAGATGGTTCAGTGGTTAAGATCAATGACTGCTCTTCTAGAGGACCCATGTTTGATACCCAGCACCTACATGGCATCTCACAAACATCTGTAACTCCAGTTCCAGAAGACCTAATGCCTTCTTCTGACCTCCAATGGCTCCAGGCATACATATGATGCCCATATATACATACAAACAAAACACTCATATGCATAAAATAAAAATAAATAAATCTTAAGAAAGAAAATGGGTCATATATACACAATGGAAATTTTGCAGTCACAAGAAAAACAAAGTTACATCATTTGCAGAAAAAAAATGGATACAAATAGAGACAACCATATGAAGCAAATTAAGCCAATCTCTGAAAGATTAATATATGTTTTTTCATTTGTGATTCCTAGATTTTATGTAGCTGCACAGTCGTGGATGTATACATGACATACAAGTGAAACTACATATGGACAAATGGTGACGTCTTAGTCAGGTTTTCTATTGCTGTGAAGAGACACCATGACCTCAGCAACTCTTATAAAGGAAACATTTAATGAGGTGACAACTTACAGTTTCAGAGGTTTAGTCCATTATTCTCAAGGTGAGAAGCATGGCAGTGTGCAGGCAGACATGGTGTTGGGGAAGGAGCTGAGAGTTCTATATCTTGAGCCACAGGCAGCAGAAAGAGACTGTGTGCCACACTGGGCATAGCTTGAGCATCTGAGACCTCAAAGCCCGCCCCCACAGTGACACACTTCCTCCAACAAGGCCGCACCTCCTCATAGTGCCACTCCCTGCGGGTCAAGCATTTAAACTCATGGGTCTATGGGGCCACTCCTATTCAAACCACCACAGCAGGTAAGAAAAGGGAAGGGAGAGGGCACAAGACGAGGCTCAATATATAACACATCTGTGTACCGAAATTTTAAAAAGAAGTTAATTAAAATCAATTTTAAATGGAGAACAAGAGAGTCATGCCCATGTCAGTTAGACTTTGTGACACTGTGACAAATACCTGAGAGAATACAGTCATGGTCTCCTGGATTCAGTGCCTTTAGACCTGTCCTGGGAGACACATCCTGCTGAGAGTGTGGGACAGAAGAAAACTGCTTGCCCGCATAGTAACCCAGAAGCAAAGAGTAAAACAAGATGGGACCAGGGCCAAGACACCCTTCAAAAGCACACCCCAATTACTACCTCCTCCCATCAGGACTCACTTCCCACTACTTCCCTCAGATGCCATCAGATTATGACTCCACCGCAGGGTGAATCCATTGATGAAGGTAGAGCCCCATGACCCAAGGCCCTCTCAGTGTCTGCATACACCAGCTGGGTACCAAGTTTGCAACATATGAACCTTGGGTGCAGGGGGAGGGAGGGCTCACTTTATATCAAAATCATAGCATGGCCTCGGCCTACCAAGATGGCCTAAATTACAAATGTGTACATACATACATACATGCATACATACATACATACATACACACATACATATATACACATATATGCACACATATTTTCTAACACACACACACACACACACACACACACACACACACACACACACACTCCTAGACATCTTGCTATGCCATCCCACCACCACCAGTTCTTGCACAGGAAAGGATGTACCTCCAGCTTCTCATTCAGGAAAAAAGTAAAGCCAAGCTAATGGAAAATCAGCAAAGCTCCATGTGCAGAGCCAGCTGCTGGAGACCATGTTCTACCCTTGCTCTGTAGCTCAGAGAAACTAGACATATGGTTCCAATTTGAATTCCACTTCCTTGGGAAAAAAAATAAGAAAGCCTTCCAGTCTAATCCCCTGACCCTTCCCAAAGCCAGGAGAGGGCCCTGCTCTTGGGAAGTGCCCCACAGATTCTTACTCCAAGTCAAAAATAGGAAAATTTTGTAAATGAAGAAGAGGGGTGTAAGTGGAGAGTCAACTCATCCATCCAGGAATTCTGCTGCGGGCACTCCTAACTCTGTTGGCCCTGGGAACCATAGGGGGGGTGCGTATTTTGGGCACAAAAAGGGAAGTAGCAACCCAGTTCCCTCCATGTATCCAGATCCTGTTTCCCATGGCTACTCAGGGAAAGCCATGTAAGCATCACGGTTTTCTGGAGAGACTGGGTGTCAGCAAAGGGAGACAGAGAGAGAAATGCTGAGTAAGTTATAAAGCCACTGGTAACACCTTACTCATGACTAGAGTTCCACTGTCTAGCTGGGATGTCTGGTGAACAGGAACACTCAGTGTTTGTGAAATGGATGAGAAAATGGTCTCCACATAACTGGCTAGACGTCATGTTCCAACATATTTCAGGAAGTGACCTGCTTCCTCTGATCCCAAATCACACCCATGATCTCTGGAGGGAGAACAGGTACACAAGCAGGATGGTTTTGCCCATCGGTTGAGCTCACACTGCAGTGGGATTGTGTTGAAATGCCCTGGATGCCCCTCGCTCGCCAGCTGTGTGACTGTGGACTTGATTCTTATTCTCTCTGAGACTCAGTGTTCTCATTTTTAATTTAAAAAAAAAACTATTTTTTTCTGGAATTAATACAAAGGTATTTGGATTATTTTCAGCAAAATAGATGTTCATCAACTGAATTGTTGGATGTTTATTATTAAGATTATTGACTGCTATTAGCCCTTTTTCTTTGCCTGGATCTTCAACAGCATGAGGGATAAAATGTTGCCATAGAAATCTATAACTCATGTGTTGGGTGACAATACTCCTTGGGAGTCATGAACAAATGTCTACTCACTCCAGATAAGGAGCGACCAAAGTAACAATCCTACACTGAAGTACAACTTGGTAAACTAATGAGTAGTGTGTGTAAAAGGTTCCTTGCAGGAGTGTGGCTGTCTCAAAAGTAGCTGCATTGCTAAAAACCCTCCCCAACATGAGTAATGATGACCCAGACCATCTGAAACCCCAGAGCACTCTGAGCAACTTGCTGGCAGTTCAACAGCTCTGGGAGTCTCTCTCCTCAGCCGTCCTTACTGTTGAAGATAGAAATAGAGAGGCCTTGCAAATCTGGTAAGATTCAGGGACTTCCTGAGACTTGTGAATTGTTTGTTTCCTAAATGTTGACAAATTTCACTTTAGAACTTCCTGACTCTGAAGAAGCTTTGCTCCTGGATGGAATGTTTATATATCGAAGAACTGCCACCCAACATCACTTTCGCTGTTTTATGTCTATCTCTCCTCAGACCTTGGCAGTCTGTTACACCTGACTAACTGCTAAACATTTGAGAGGGTGGTATTTAAAACACTATGGGGTTTTAAGGAAAACTACTCAAGACTTTAAGATGGAGCAATTCTGTTTCAAATCCCACCTCTTCCACTTCAGACAAATCACTTCACCACTGCGGCTTCCTGTTCCACACCTGTGAAGAGGGAGTCATCACAAACCCATCACCAACTGCTCCAGCACTGCTGTACTGGCTATTGACTCCCAGCAGAAAGGCACCTCTCCCCGCTTGGTGCAAAAGTGCTCTAAGTGGCGTTGGGCTGAGTAGGGGATTAAGTGACAGGTAGTGGAAACATCACGTTCCCTTGTTCATAATTAATAGGAGGAAGCTTTACATTCCCCCCCCCCAGTTGGAGAGATGGCTCAACAGATAGAGTGCTGGCTGCACAAATGTAAGGACCTGAGCTCAGATCCCAGAATCCACATAGAGCCAAATGCAGCAGCGCACATCTGCAGTACCAGTGCTCCTCCTGTGGGATGCAAAGTGGAGACTCCGAATCTCAAAGGCCAGCTAGCCTGGCATATGCAGCAGCAAAACAAGAGATCCCATCTCAGGCAAGGCAGAAGATGAGGAATGACATCTAAAGTTGTCCTCTGACACCCATACACACTCCATGGAGTGCATGTGGCCAGACTCGTGCATGCAGACATGTGCACATGTATGTACACACCACACACACAGAGAGAGAAAGAGAGAGAG